ATTCCAGCCCTGCTCTGAAATTCCCCCATACGCTCCCACCTGGGTGGATGAGCCCACAAAAGCCTATGGGCCTTATAGCATTTCTGCAGCCTGCGAGGGCCCAACCACCACAAGGCTGGCTCTTCCTGCAGTGAATAGGAGTTTGGCTTCATTTTTTTAATATAACCAAGCCCCGAAGTCTGAACACATCCTCTAGATGGATAAAGAGTATTCTACTGGTTTCAGAGCAAAATTTACTTTTCATGTGTCCTTAATTTTAGAAATGTTTGTTCTGAGAAAGTAAGTGGAGGTAAGGAGTGGAGGAGAAGAAAACAAGCAGCCGGTCTGGGGAAGGTAGAGGGATATGATGTTTTGAATTGTTTTAATGTTTCCAACAAGGAGCAGGGAGTGTTGGTAAACACATGTATTTTACTGTGCACAGCAAGCAGAAGTTCCCCTACCTGACCTGCACTCTCACATTCATGCTTTCTCTGATTACTGGCAAGGCAGCCACTAACCCAAAGCGAAGGACAGGCTCCAAACTACGGTGTGCTTTGCTGTTGTGAGGAAACTGCTGCTGTGCCCAATCTCCCCTGTGGCTCAGCTATGGTTCCCTAGAGGAATCCACCCACATACAGTTGTAATCTCTGTCCAAGAGCAGCAGCCTGCAGGCCTAGTATGCTAGCAGAAAAGAGGAACATAGAGAGGCACCAGTACAGGGAGAATCTGCTACAAAATTCAGAATTAAGGCAGTCCGCATTTTCTCATTCATTTGGGACAATGTGTTTTTGTTATCAACTCTGTTCATATCTGCAAACCGTTGTCACCACCTTCTCCAGGCAAGCAGCTGCCTCTGAAATGTTCAGACCCATCTCTTGGCAGCAGCCTTTCTAGCGGTGCACCAGTGAAGCATTGCCTCTCCACAAAGCAACAGCTGCTAATGCTGGTGCGGTACATAACAGTACGCTGCCACAGCAGGTTGGGTCCTGCAAGAAAACAAATTTCTCTGGCCTAGATCATTTGACAATTGCTATCGCATGAATAATTCAATTCACAAAACCTAGCAAATGCAAACAGCAAATAAAACAGCAACCTGGTACTGTGCTGTACAGCCAGAAACGGCACCAGTTCAGCCAAAGGGCATGACAGCTGCTTGCAGATCGAGATGGCCATAGCCACTGCATGCTGGCTAACCACCGAGCCAGTGGGAGGCATCCCAGGAAAATATTTCCATGTTTGGAAAACCTATATGGCTTGCTATCCTGGTCCCGTTGCTTTCAGTTAGTAAAATTAGGTCTTAAACCTATGAAAGTAGGTTCATAATAATTCCACCTCAAGATTAACTAACCTAGTTTAAAAGTATACATTCAGCTAAACCCATGCAATTTCCTCATGTCCATAAAGCCTTTAGCTTTGCCTTACCTTCTTCTGGCTTCTGGGATTAAAATTGTTTGCAAGGACAGGGAGCATGACAGTTCTGTTCAGAAACATTTTCCCAGCTTTAACTTTAGCAATATGCACAGGAAATGTACATTATTGGAAAGATATAATGCTTTCTTTTCCACCCTTAAGTTTGTTTTTTTTTTTCTGCCCTGGTCTCACCGTCTCTTAAAGCAGGGAAGGAGAAAGCATTTAATGAGAACTTTGCCACTTCTGCCTTGAATTTATTCTGCTCATCATTTAAGAAATTATCTCCAAAAGCAGAGGAGACTGCAGCTCCAGCCCAGGCTGCATTGTGGGCTGTCTCACACCTTTTGTGGTCCACCTCCCTGGCTTACAGGCAGCAGCCTGGGAGCATGGAAACCCCAGGCACAGGGTAGCCCACCTGGCCGAACAGACGAACAACCTCCACATCGTCTGCATCTCACTTCATAGCTGGTGTGCTTCCAGTGAGCTGCTTGGGTAAAGCAGCAGGGAAGCAAGTTAAAACTTCACATATTTGCAGAAATAACTTTGTCAAATTGAACTATTTGCATTGAGAGCTTGGATGAATTAGCAGCCCCAGTGCTGCAAGTGTTCTGACTCAACCTGTTCAGTGTCCAGCTTAGTGAACGCGGTGGCCAGTAAGTGCCCCATGCTTGTGGGGGCTATTAATACAGGAACAGGAAAACAAAAAACACAATTTTTTTTTTTTTTTTATAACAATAAAACCTGGCTGTAAAACTACAATTGTCAGGGATATTTTCCAGGTTAGGAACCTTTGACACCCAAATTCACATTGCCTCTTTTATGTTTTTCTGCTTTGTTCGCACTAACAACTCCCATCTCACCATTCCTGCTTACCCGCAACCACTCCATCACATAATGCATTACCAACTTCTATTTCTCCATTGTGCATAGCCTCTTCTGGTCAGAGAGGCTATCACCTTTGGTTTCTTTGTTCTTCAAACATCTGTCTACATACAGCAAGAATGTAGCAGGATATCAACGGAAACACCTAACTGTACTGCTTACACAGGAACTCTGCTGTGTCATTTTATTTGACCAGATAAATGAACAGATGACATTTATTGTGATTGACCTTGCCTTGACAACTACTGAGAACTCTTGACACATACATCCGCTTATAGAGGCAAGATGGATAATTTCTCCCAGGCCACAGTCAGTGTGAGGTTCCTTGAATAATCAACACCTAGCTTAGAGCTTGACTTTGATAAAGCATGTGGTACTCAGGGACATTAATTTGGTTCTCTGTGAGCTTGGATGATTCAGAAACATTTAGCCAAGCTCTCTTCTAGGGAATTAATAGGGCTATCTTGATCAGAAGTGATCAGCTAAAATCTCACACAATCCGACTGCCCACATCTATGGTATAAATGCTCTACCAACAAATAACAAGAAGCTTCTGGTAGAGTACAACATAAATTAAATATTACCCATACAAGGAACAGAGTGACTGAGAGTGATAATGGTGAGGCCTAAGCCATCCAACAAAACATGTTTTCTTCTGCGTGAAGAAAAAAGTGAAAGGCGTTTACAACCCTAATCACCCAAATGAAAATAAAATAGACTAGAAGACATCAGCAAGGTAAGCAGAGTTGAGCTTTGATGAAAAGAGTACTTTCAGAAAGAGATGGCCTGTCACCATAGCAAACAAAAGAAGAAAAGGTATTGATAACTGAAAGCAAACAAGAAATATATTTTACTTTCAAAAGAGAAAGAAGGAAGGAAGGAAGTCTATAGAAACAAGAAAAAATTGGTCATTCAGAAAGAAAAAACTGATGAGCATAGTGAAAGACAGGAAGTAAACAGTTAGATCTCGCCAAGAAGAAAACAATTAAACAATCTTGTTCCATGCACAGATTTATTAGTTTGGACTACAGACTCTCTGTTGATAGACCTGCATCCAAAAGGCACTTACACAATTTCCTGCCAAAGCTTGAGATTTTTTTTCTCCGAAACTAAAATGTGGGGAATTGGGGAGGAGGAGGGTGGAATGACTTGAACTGCTCCTCAGTCTGCCCTTGGCTGCTTTGCCACACCAGCAAGCACGTTGTGCTAAGGCTTCCACATCACAGCCTGTTCATAAGTTGGTTCTGCAGCCCCTCACCAGTCTCAGTCTCTACTGAGCAGAGTCCTGAACACACCAAATAGGACACTTTTCCCAGCCTTTATTTTCTGTAACCCTGGTCTGCTAAGCAATGTCATCCATGCATGCCTCTGACAAGCACACACCCTCTCCCCAGCCAGTTCTGCCCGATCCAGCTATGTACACTCACTTTTCTGGTTGGTCCTAGCAGAACTTTCATCCCCTCCTTGCTTCACAATGGGGTGCGCTCACTTCCCACACAGCTCCCACTTGAACACATATTAACAGCTTATGCTAGTGCTCCAAGTTCCACAGAGCCCAGGCTCATGCAGGGGAGACTTATGAAGTCCCCTGAAATCACCATCCTTCCAGGTAAATAAGTCTCTGACAACCCTTACTACACATAGGGCTTTATGCTGCATTTGCAATTCAGATGTCTACTCCAAATATAAAGCACACGTACTGTACGAGGGAACTTTCAACATAAAGGAGGTATGAAAGTGGAACTGATTCACACTCTCTGCTGCAATCAAACTACCAGAGGATGCTAAATGATTCCCTCTGCTCTGATTTTGGATGCAATTATCTGACCTTGTTTTTTGCTTGTGACATTTTCTCGGGCAGCACAGTGCTCACACATCATTCAAGCCAGCAGCACTCAAAGTCATACAAATGTGAGTGTATGTGTATGTCTCTGAAATGGGACAAGGCGTGGAGTAAATTAAAGGCTTTTAAGTATTACTGATTAAGAAAGAGAGAAAACAACATTTAAAAGCCTTTTAAATTGCTATGCCTTCCTTTTGATCCCAAATTTCTCTTTGTTTTGTTCTGTGCAGCTGGCTGAATGATGACAGAGTGGCTTGCAATTATCTGGATGACATTAGATGCCAGCTGAAATGGACACTAAAGGAAGAATCCAACATTCTGCATACATAATTCCTACTCCGTTTGGCATTGAACCACGTCAACAAATATAATTCCCCCCCCCAATTAAATCCCATGACCAGTGATGCTGCTATGGTAACAGAAGCCCAGGAAGGGAAAAGATCTTGGATATAAGCAGAGTTTCAAAATCCTGTAGAAGAGTTTTGATTCCAAACTGCACATGCCTTTAAGGTAAATCCCCGAAGCTCTGCACACCGAACATTTACACATATGCGACTGATGTGGTCTTACAATGCCTGGCGAATTCTGAAGGGCTTTCATTAATTTAGTGACTTGCATTTTCAGTCTTTGTAGAGTTCTTTCAAATCACAGGTATTTCTCCAACAATTCTATGAAGCTTACTAAAATAGACCTTAGAAACTGAGCACAGTTGCCAAAATAATGTTATTGTTTTCCAGAATCTGTTTCAAAGATAGTTATTCCAAATAAACTTAAAAGTTATATTCCTATATTACCACACCAAGCAGTTCATAGCAGGTTAGTAAATCAAATATTCCATACTGTTAGCTTAATAAGATGGGGAGTCATGCATGAAATGACTGCCAGGTTAATGACATAGGGAGCCATGCATGGCATGTATTTGCATATAATAACACAGAACATTCCCCTAAATCCTCTAAATTACTCATCAGTTCTTAAATAGGCATTTAACTAAGCCTTCATCCAGAATCAAAAAGAAAGAGTGAGCCACCTATAATTGAAAAGAACGATAGATAAAGACTAAGCAAAACCTAAAGTGCCAGTTTGTAGGAAGCTGGAAAATCTGCACATGCAAACCAATCAAGCCATACCAAATGTGTACAGCTGAACATAAACAGAACAGATTTGTTTCTGGATAGAAATTCTTAATGGAAACTAGGGCATGGCTTTATATCAGGTGTTGTGCTATGGGATGAAAACAAAGGGAAAACATGACAAATCTTAAAACCAAGGCTGGAGCACAACTTACAAAGAGGAGACATTGGGAACAGCATTTGTGCCCATTATTCCTGATGACTTACAGACTCAGACTGTACAAGCTGAAAATTTTTCTTTGGTTTACTTTTGCAGAGGCCTTTCCAGACTGCCAAACATACATTCTTTCATGCTGTAGCTCTTGCTTTGGGCTCCATTTGTAGGAGCAGCTGAAGAAATAGGACACTAAAACCTGAGCGAAAGAGGAGAAGTCAGGGCACAAAGAGAAGTCTGGAGCCTTCTCCCTAGGCAGCAGTTCAGAAGAACTGGGCTAAGAGTACCAAGATGTACTTAGAATCATGCAAGATGTTTCAACCCTGGTTTGCTTTTTTCTTCCTGTTGCCTGTTATAATTGCTCAAAGGGCAAGGTCTTCAGGGCAAAGACTTTCAACATGTTTGCAAATGGGCCCCCAGAGCATGCTCAGGGCTTCTCCATATCTCTGCAGTATAACAGGTTTTGTTCAAACACATTCAGGCCCAAATACCTGTAATACACACAGGAAAAAAAAAAAAAAAAAAAATTAGCTGGAAAAGTTTCTGCCTCACTTTAGCAAGTAGTACCTCATGTAAGCATCCCATCACCATACACACTACACAGAACAGAGGCATTCTCTTCTGGATCCTGGCTTACTCTTTCCTCCACTCACACAGAAAAACCTCCCTCAAAATCCTGCCCCAACATCATTTTTATATAACTGGATTCAAATGTCAGTAACTTCAGGCTGCAGATTAGAATCTGAGTCACAGATTTATAAAACTGAAGTTTCTAAAGCTTGCCCAGAGGTATATTATTATTCCAGCATGCAAGAAGATAATATGCTTAATTTTTTTGTTTGTTTGGATATGAAAAACAATTTAATCATTAATTCAAATTAAGCAAGTTTGGAATAACAAGCCTTGAACTTTCATGCAATTGCAAAAAAAGTTACATTGGATGAATAATATGGAGAAGGAGAGGAAATAAAGAAGGAGAGTTGGAGGGAGAGGAAATAAAAGTTTTGTAAAGTGTTAAAATATATCCACTCTATCATAAGCTGAGATCTTTTTGGTCAGAGAAAGTTCCTCAGCCTAGATAACAGCAGCGAAAAAAACTTGAACTTACTTCCCTTCCCACTCTCATCCACTGAAGTATCAATTTCAAAGCCTAAGCAAAATGAATTGCCAACATTATTAAATCCAAGCTCCCCTTTACTTCTTCATAAAATTAAAAATGCAGATGTTGTGTTATTGCCACTTCATGTATGCCAGTTTATAAATAAAAATAATAATAATAATAAAAAAAAAAGATTCAAAATATAAAGTTCCAGAGAAATACCAGCTCATCCTTTTTGTAAGCCACAAAACATCTCTCTCTCTTCATGTCTTTAAAGACCAGGTATCACTGTAATGCAAAATGCTGACCATGGTTCACTTACAGTTCATTTTCCAGGGAAGAAAGCCAAATTGATATTGCCAAAATATAATTTAAAGACTCACAGAAGTGCCAGTGTCCTAACTGAAATAATTTTACATTGTGAGAGGTAAGGGATGATAAGTAGTGCTCACTTCCTGAAGTAGCTGAAACATACTGGTATGCAATATAACAACTATAACAACTCTTTTGGGCAAAGAGCAACTCTTTTAGGCAAGTAAACCATTTTGGAGAAATCTGTGCTCAGTCACTCGGTTATTAATATATTGCTATGATTTGGTAAAGTATTAAAGGAACATATAAATAGGTACTATTCAACATCAACAAAAAGACTTCCAGTGTCTACATTTAGCATCAAATACACTGAGGAAATAAGTTAAGAAAAAGAATAAATATCTCTTTATCTAAAACTATGTAGCCACAGTACCTAGATGCTTTCTAAGGATGACTTTCTAAGGATTAATGGAATTTCTATCCTTTCTACAGATTTGCCACTTACTTTCATTTACTGAATACCAATAGTTACATTTTAGAGATCAAAGCATAACATTTCTCAGTTGTAAGCAACCAGAGGAAAAGCCTATATTTTATTTACCAAGAAATATTTATTTCTTCAGAATACAGGTCTTTCTAAACTATATCCTTATTTCTCGTAGACTAAGGCTCAAGCTATTACATAGCTTTTATTTGTAAGTATGGTCTTTTGTGTTAAGAAAGATAAATGTCAGATGAATTAATTATGTATCTATAATTAGACACTGCTGAAAATGAGCTGAAACTTGTTTTGACATCTTCTTTGAAGAATGTATTTGTACATTGCATGTAGCACTGTGCACATGCATTTGCCAAACCTGAACCAAGTGAATGGCAGCTATGTACAAAAGCCAGTAGGCTTTGCCAGGGTAAACAAAATCAAAGAAAAGCACAGCTGAGGAGTTAATAAGCACTGACTTACAGGAGGGAAATTCATACTAGACAGCTTCCTCAGAAAAAGCTAAATGGCCATCAAGAGGAAAGGAAGTCTCAGACCAGGAACACATGATAAAAGCTGTACTTTGGTGATTGCAGAAAGCTTTATTTTAAATATACCCCTCTAAGTGTTTAACTAGTTTCCAAGAGGCTTGACAGTACTTTCCTCATCTCATTTTTTTCCCCCTACTAATCTGGAGATAGATTGTACCTTAAAGCAGAGCCAGGAGCAAGGGGTGTGTGCTTAAGTGGCAGGAGCCCAAGAGTAAGTGTGGGAGGCATTGTGTTTCAGCAACAAAGCATCACTCCCTGCTCCCTCACAGAGGCAAAGGAGATGAATCAACCTTACCACTAACTGCGAATTCAAGTATGAAAAGCAGCAGCACACAGAACATGTTCCAGGATGTAAGCAAAGTCTCTTCTTCTGCCTTGCACACAATCTAGGAATTTAAAGAGGCAGTGCCAGCAACCTTTCTGTGCGAGTGGCCCTACGGATGAGGTAACCACATGTGAGTTTAATAACAGTAATAATAACAGTAGGAGTATTTAATGAAGACTCACGAAGAACTGTCTATGTTATTATTGTAGGATAATGATAAATAGTTTGACAATGCTGTTTCTGGGACTGAATAAACAATTCAGCCTTATCACAGCTGTTGGACTTCAACACCCAGCATTTAAGTGCTGTCAGAAGAGTGACTCTTGAAAAATAATACCTTCTTACTCAAGAAAGCTGCTTCTTCTATGTATTCTGAGTCATATCTGATACCTTTACTGACAAAACAAGTTGTTACTAATGATAGCATGGAAGCACTAATCCCAATCTAAGAGGGGAGGCTGTATCCTAGTTTGTCTCACCATGACGCAGTTCTGTCTGTGGCATGTAGCCCAGATCACCACCAGAGATGCGATGCAGGAACACAGGAGAAGAATCATTCCCAAACACCTGGGATTAGGCACAGCACAATATTTCTCTTTGGAAGACTAACCTGTTTGTCCCTAATCCAAGCAACCCCTTTGCTGACGTGGGAATAAGCATAGCCATTTGCCCTGCAAGCATGCTCCATGCCACACGTACGTCTGAAAATCCATGGCACCGAAGAAGAGAGGCTTTACATTTGATCTCTTCCTTGTGCTTCACTGCCAGGTTCAGAATCTGCTAGCTCCCAGCTAGAGAGGACAGCCCTGCTCTAAGCAGGCACTGTGACTAACCCTGTCCCCATGCCACCCTTGCCAGGTCACACATCAAGAGGAAACCTTCTAAAGAAGAAGGGACTGTCGGTCAGGTCATATACTTACTTCTGCATGACTCTGAAACAAATTAACTTTCAGTCAGGTTAAATCCTCACAGCTGCATGGATCACTTTAGCTGGTGTCAGTGATTTTACTGATGGGTTTACACTCAAACGGTACCAAAAAGGAGCAATTTCCTTGTTGCTCTTCACAAAGCCTGTTCCAGCAGGTACTACTTGGCAGAGCCTTGCAAGCATGCTTTTGCTGGTGCTTGCCAGTTTAGCCCTGCACTAAACTGGCCACATGACAAGTGAATATAAAATTGTCTGTGGGACTTCTACCATAGCAGGAGCACATTAAACTGAGAAGTTTCTATAAAAATGAAATGACTAAACATCTAATTTTTGGTGTTCATTTTAGAGTTCCCATAAAAAACTGGAGAGGAACAGGAAAATTCCCTTATATTCACTCAAATTTCTTATTTTCTAGAGCCTTAGAAACAACTTCAGCGTTTCCATATCCGTAAGGAAACTACAGCATAATGGTTCTATTTTATGCCAATAATCTTCACTTTAAAGGACACAACCAGCAGAAAGGCAAGATTTTCTCCTGGAAAACTTTCCCTAAATGCCAGAAACACAGCAGTGCTTTCATACCCCCTCACTGAATTCAAAACAACTTGAAACAATCGTGGGCACTGCTTGCTATCTTGTGCGAATCAGGGAAGGGAAGCAGCTTATTTCCTGATTAGCAGTTTCTCAGTGGTAGTAGTGGGAAGGGAGAATCTGCCTACCAAAATCTTAGCTCTGTGGAAATATCAGCGTGTCTATAAACGGATGGCTGCTCCTCACGAGATACTGTCCTCTCTAAGAACGCTGCCCTATCTCCTGAACCTCTTCCAATGCAGCCCTGAGCAGGCTGCACTCCTAGCAAAGGTGAGGAAAGTTAGAAATGGAACCAAGCCGACCTGTGCATATAAAAGCTCTAAATTTATTACTCTCGATTAAAATGAATGAGGATAAGGATTGCTTCCAAGTACATCAGCCAAAGAAAGTACCTGCTGCAGGAAAACAGAAGACACCGGTGTATACATGAAGGAAATTATTCATATGTTAACAAAATGTGTGCAAGCTAACATACATGGAACTGGTAAATTGTTATTCACCTGACAAGTAGTTACTACATAGGAACAATGGGTTAAAAATCTAGAATTATTTTTTTAAGCCAGTTTCTAATCTGAGAGATACTTATACACCTGCGCACCTGATTTTACCAAAAAAAAAGGGGGGGTAGTGGGGGATCTTCAAAGCCAAGTACTTTATGCAGCACAAACAGGAATATGATGTTCAGTTGGCAAGCACAAATTTACCTCTAAAGTAATTTGTTCTCTTAACTCTTCTATTAACTTTGGAGTGTCTTAAAAACCCTTAACTCTTTCTAAACTCAACAGCAATAGAAACTACTGAGAACTACAGAACTAGCTTTGTGATGAAGAAGAATCCTCAAGATAATGCTTCTTATTTATCTAATGCTAATGTTTTTTATTGCTGGGAAAAAAAAAAAAAAACAAAAAAAACACTGTAGAAAAAAATAAAACTTGTAAAAAAAAATATCACTGTATAGTGATATTTCTCATTTTGGTTTTATTTTTGCTAATATAGCACCCAAAAAGAGAAAACAATGTCAATGTTTTGAGCTTGGGAAGTTTGCACAGAAATTTGGAAAAGGACAGAAATCAAATAACTTCTGTCTCAGTTTAGTTAATATTGCCTACATAAAAGCAGTGCTGGGAAGCCAGGTTCATTATTTGTAGTAACATGTTTTTCCTTGTGCAGAAGGCCTATAGAAGCCTCTCATTGATTGAGATGTTTC